TTTGCATTTATCAGTGCAAAGAATGGCAACAAAATTAATTGTCCCCTTTCTTCTTCCTTTATAAACAACTGTCTTATTTCCTCTTCCAATCTCTTCATACAGAATGAAGTTCTCCATACTTAAGGATGCTTTACAGGCAATGGATTGGAAACATGGTATTAGTCTCATAAACAAATAAACCTTTAAAGAAGGGGGGCAGCGGGGGAGAATTCAAATTTAACAGTCATTGATGTATAGTATTTACCCTCCCAATTCTTAAAAATAGAGATTATATACTTCCAGCAAGATCAAACATACTTACTTTACAGAAGGCCTCCACCCAGGAAATGTGACCAAAATTTTGAAGATGATAGAATTTTCCACTTCCAAAGCTCTTAACACATTCAAAAAGTTACAGACTGGCCAGTAGCTACAAATTCTAGGTATCTTATCTGTAAATAAAAATCATACTACCAAACTTAAAACCACATGTTCTACATAAAACTGCTGTCCAAATGAAAATATTCTATACTGAAAGCCTTGCCAAATAAGATTGCAATTTCTGCCCAAGGGCACCTCTGGCAAACAGGCCTCTGCAACTTTTCACAATGTAATTTAAACCTGCCAAATAACTGATTTAATCAGCATTACTGAAAAACACAGGACTTTGAATATTAGTGCTCCTACCAATGCTAAGCTCAATGTAGCTTCACCAGTTATAGGACTCATTTTTCATGGATAGAAACAACTCCTTGCAGATAAAAGCTATGTAAATTTGTTGGCAAATGTTGCATTTGGGAATCGCAGTTCCAAAGGAATTTAGTTTATATTTGTAACTATCATTTTTGTCTCAAGAATTTTATATACTGAAACAAATGAAATATTTGTCAGTTGTTGCAAACCCAGCAAGTGGCATTTGTACATTTAAATAGTTAGATGCTTTTCATAGAAGTCTGGTTAATTCTTTTGCTCCATAATTATTTTCTCTGAGAATCTTGGAGCAATGGGAGAAGTGACAGCAAAGTATTGAAGCAACTATGATACACGAAGTAAGAGTTCTGCATCAGCTTTCCATCCTGCTCCTCAGCTATCCCATTGGGTTAAGAGCAGAGAGACATAGAATCCCAATATCAGCATATTCCAGAAACAGGATATATTGCTAACTAGTCTTCAGTGACCACCTTGTAGCAAGTTCTTCCAGCTCCAGGACAGCTTCACATTCAATGCCCAGTTCTTCCAACTACCACTTTAATGAGTTCCAAGCCATTTGGAGCTGCTCTTTCTCATCTCTACATGACTTCTTCCATTTTGTTTATAGAACTGTTGTTTTTTCTTCAACAAGACCAGTTCTCAATGTAGTTATCCTAAAACCATAGAAAAGCAGCATATTGGAAAGGGTGGTGCAGCAACAGGAATGATCAGCAAGGATGGAGAGGAAGGGCTGCTTAAGCAGTACAGCTGCCAAATGCCTAATTATAAACCATAAACTCAATTTCATGTTACCTATTTCATAAAACACAAAGCTCCCCAAGTGACAAATCAAAGACCAAAATGAAGACCAGAGAATTCCCAAATTTTCAGACAGGACTTCAAGTGAAAATACAACAAAGCATCAGACAGCACCAGACAACAAAGTGTCTGTCACTAAAATACTGGTTCTTGCCAGAACATCAGTCAGGTGCCACAGTACAACTCAGATGATCCAGAATTTACAACATACATAGGAACCTCATGATTCCAGGATTTCCTTTACTGAAGATAGTTATCCAAGACAACAGTTTTCTTCCCAGAAGAAGAAAGAATCTCACCATCACAATTCAAAAGCCTTGAGATTAATACTGTAAATTAGTTTGATTTTACCTAGCACTAAGCAAACAACTAGGTACAGCCAGTACAACATAGGAAGGAAGACTTTTTTTCTGCAGTTATCTATGAGAACAAACTAATTATACAACGATCGGTTTGCCAAACATACCAAAACAAGGCACAAAGATATAGCATCAGAACAGATGGGGGTCTCCATTTCCCCACCTCTCTTCTCTGATTCGTGCAGATCATAACACCATTCGTTATGTTCTTTTTCTGGACAGCTTAAAAAAAAGACCAGAAAACCCCATAACGTCATCCCCTAGTACACAAAGATTTCAGAACAGCAATGCCATAGAAATTTATCCAGCAAAGGACATGGCCAACCCACAGCCCATCCCCAAAATTTACATGACCACAGCCCCTTCCTTGAACTTCTTCTTTCGCAAGAGTACTTCAAACCTGACATGTGCACCTCATCACAAAACTGAAGCATATACTCGTTAGACAGATGGAAGATATCTTTGTGTGGGTGATATGAAAGGCATTATCATCCACTCATGCAATAAACCATACAAACGTATGCCAGGCTCAATGACAAAAGCACGAGCAATGACATGCAAACGCACATTGGAACAGAGTAATCATGGTCATGGGATAGTGAAGCCTCATGACTGATAGTATTGCAAATATGGTCTCCATTAGCTGCTCTGCAAGAAGCTACAAGGAAAAGAGAAGCACCTAGTCTTGCATCTCTCAATCTCAACAGTAATGGCTATGCCACCATTTCAGTACACAAACCAATGGAGCATGACCCATGAGGCAGACTTTCAACAGCTGGAGCACATCCATTGCTTTGGACATAAAGTGAAGAGATCAAATAAAGTGACACAAAAAGTGAAAAGCAGCATCTCAAGGTGAGATGGCTGTGTGGAAACCTGCCACACCACGTCTCCACAGAAGCACCCAAAGCAGCAGACTCCAACTGCCAAGTGAACCGCATTTGCTCTGGGCAGGATACAGGACCACACCACCAAGGAGACATGGTTCCAGAAGTGTTTCTTCCTTCTCTTGGTCAGAGAATGGCCAGAATACTCTGAACAGAGCAGCACGTGCAGGACCTGAGATCTCCTGCAGTCAAAGCTCTGTCAAGAGCGGCCAGCTCGGCAGGTCTGAGGTACTGCACTGCAACCCCTGGGACACAGCAGCCCCCTGGCCCACCTGCAACAGAGGTGAGGGTGCCATAAGGCAGGCCATCCCCCGGCGGGTCTCCCGCTCCTCAGGAGGCCTTCAGTTGGGGTACCAGAGGGAGCTGAGGGATACCCCACACCAGCCCCCCTCTCCCCCGGTCTGAGCGTGCACTCAGACCCAAAGACTATGGCCGCGGATACGTGACCAGGGCGGGAGCGGGAGGGCGCTGAGAGGACCGGGGGG